ACATGTAGTACTAGTGTTATAGAGAACATGTAGTACTAGTGTTGTAGTGAACATGTAGTACTAGTGTTATAGTGAACATGTAGTACTAGTGTTGTAGTGAACATGTAGTACTAGTGTTATAGAGAACATGTAGTACTAGTGTTATAGTGAACATGTAGTACTAGTGTTGTAGTGAACATGTAGCACTAGTGTTATAGTGAACATGTAGTACTAGTGTTGTAGTGAACATGTAGTACTAGTGTTGTAGTGAACATGTAGTGCTAGTGTTATAGTGAACATGTAGTACTAGTGTTATAGTGAACATGTAGTACTAGTGTTGTAGTGAACATGTAGTACTAGTGTTGTAGTGAACATTTAATACTAGTGTTATAGTGAACATGTAGTACTAGTGTTATAGTGAACAGTTATTAATAACATTAGGCAAAAGATATAATGATTTATATTTATCACACACACACACACACACACACACACACACACACACACACACACACACACACACACACACACACACACACACACACACACACACACACACACACACACACACACACACACACACACACACACACACACACACACACACACACACACACACACACACACACACACACACACACACACACACACACACTCCCCACCTGGTCTTCACTCCTAAATGCCACAACGTAAACACCTAGAAAAGTGCAAAAGGGCACACAAGATTATTCTCTCCCCTTCCTACTCCACATATGCGCTCAACACACTGACCCTTTCGACTCTCACTGACCATCACCACGACCTCATCTGCAAATTTGGTAAGAAGCTTCTACACCATCCTCGACACTGGCTCCTACTACCACCTGAGATCCCTAGCCCGAGAATTGCTGTTCGACACCACAACCGCATCCAGCCCATACGTGCACAAACTGATCGCTATAAGAACAGCCCAGTCCCAACCATTGTAAAAATTATCAATAACTTGTGATAAACCAGTGTATTCACTCCCAGTAAACACTACTCCTTGCACTGTCACTATGTTGAAATGAACTGTAGTTTGAGCTTTTCCCCATCTAGTTATTATATATCTTATTTGTATCACTTATGTTACTTGAATATTATTTGTAATTCGAAACCCATTCCCTAATTATGTAACTGTATATTTTCAGCCTTGTGGCTGCCAAGCTCTTTCAATAAACCGTTAATTATTATTATTATTATTATTATTATTACACAAACAATTACATACATACATATTAGTGGAATGAGAACTTACTGCAGCTTATGGTGATCAACATTATCAGTCGGTTATAACACAAGGAGGAACTGGATAACTGTGTCCATATCCAGACTGGTGAGAGACTGTTCGGGCACGCGTTGAATAGTATTGACATCAGATTGTAATGGTGTGAGGATAATTACTGTAGGTACAGGTACAGTCCCCTTTACTAGTGCGTTTACAGGGGGTCGTCAGGTTTTGTCCAGTGTGGCAAACCTGTGTTTGTTTACATTCGACAAAGAAGCGGAAAATAGTACAAATATGTTGTAATCAAATTAAAACAATATTAAAACAAATAGCTCAGATAATAAATTGTGGAATGTTTATGTGACGAGCCCCTGTAAACGTACAAGTGAAGGGGACTGACTGTACATAGTTGTCAGGCATCTGAACTCCACCTTGAACAGGTAATACTTCGAGGTGATTCTCCGCCACAGTCCATTACAACTGTCAGTGTATTAATTTAGGGGATTTACTCTGATATATTATTATATTGTATTGTATTGTATTAAATAAGTTGTTGAGTTTGTTGTTTAAAGTATATACTGTAGGTAGGTCAAGGGACACACTATTACCTTTGTATTATTTATTAATTCATTATACAAAAAGAACTTAAACACCTCACTGAGCCTCCTCACCGGACGACTCATCCTCACTGTCCGAGAAAATACTTCTCGTCCTGCTCTTCACTGGACGACTTATCGTCCCCTCCTCACCGGGCTCATCGTCACTTTCCGAGAGACAAAGTGTCGTCCCCATCAACGTCAATGGAAGACTTTTCCTCTTCTCAACGGACGACGACTCATCGTCACTTTCCGAGAGACGACGTAGACGTATCTGAGGGGGAAGATGGTCGTCCTCCTTCTTACTGGACGACTTGTCGTCAGTTTGCTGTGGACGTTGACGTTTCTGAGGGGGAAGATGGTCATCGTCCTCCTCACTGGACGAATCGTCATCCTCCTCCTCACTGGACGAATCGTCGTCATCCTCGTCACTGGACGAATCGTCGTCAGTTTCCTGAGGAATAGGTCGTTCCTGAGGGGGAAGATGGTCGTTCTCCTCCTCATTGCACGCCTCCTCTACAGTTTCCTGTGGAATAGGTCGTTCCTGAGGGGGAAGATGGTCGTTCTCCTCCTCATTGCACGCCTCCTCTACAGTTTCCTGAGGAATAGGTCGTTCCTGAGGGGGAATGTGGTCGTTCTCCTCCTCATTGCACGCCTCCTCTACAGTTTCCTGTGGAATAGGTCGTTCCTGAGGGGGAAGATGGTCGTTCTCCTCCTCATTGCACGCCTCCTCTACAGTTTCCTGTGGAATAGGTCGTTCCTGAGGGGGAAGATGGTCGTTCTCCTCCTTGTGCACGACTCTCTACGGTTTCTGTGGAATGGGTCGTTTCTAAGGGGAAGATGGTCGTTCTCCTCCTCATTGCACGCCACCTCTACAGTTTCCTGCGGAATAGAATGGTTCCCTGAGGGGAAGATGGTCGTTCTCCTCCTCATTGCACGCCTCCTCTACAGTTTCCTGTAAGGAATAGGTCATTCCACAGGGGAAAGATATGGTCGTTCTCGCCACTCGTGCACCCTCCTCTACAGTTTCTGAAAGGCCGGTGTTCCTGGGGAAGATGGTCGTTCTCCTCCTCATTGCACGCCACCTCTACAGTTTCCTGTGGAATAGGTCGTTCCTGAGGGGGAAGATGGTCGTTCTCCTCCTCATTGCACGCCTCCTCTACAGTTTCCTGTGGAATAGGTCGTTCCTGAGGGGGAAGATGGTCGTTCTCCTCCTCATTGCACGCCTCCTCTACAGTTTCCTGTGGAATAGGTCGTTCCTGAGGGGGAAGATGGTCGTTCTCCTCCTCATTACACGCCACCTCTACAGTCTCCTGAGGAATAGGTCGTTTCTGAGGGTTAAGGCGAGCCTTCTTCGCCTCACTGTACGACTTGTCAGTTTCCTGTGCAATAGGTCGTTTCTGAGGGTGAAGGCGAGCCTTCTTCGCCTCACTGTACGACTTGTCAGTTTCCTGTGCAATAGGTCGTTTCCGAGGGTGAAGGCGAGCCTTCTTCGCCTCACTGTACGACTTGTCAGTTTCCTGTGCAATAGGTCGTTTCCGAGGGTGTAGACGACTGCTCTCCACACGACGACCATGTTCACTTTCATCATGGTAAGGTGTCTCACGAGGCACCTGGGGATAGGCTTGTGACTGATGATCAGAGACATATTGCTCTTCCTCATAACAAGGTTGATTATAACAACAATTTGGATCGTTATAATTATTCCGGTGTGTTCTACGGTTGGTATACAGAACGGAAACTTTCAGGGGTCGGTTGTACACCAGTCGTCCATTATTCTCGAGGGCCAACATTTGGTGCCGCTTACCACAGTACCGGATTTTGGCAATGCCACGGTGCCACGTTCCATCATTATTATATGGCATATAACAATCCTTCATGCCCCCATCTTCATTAAAAATGTATACAATATCCTCATATGAACACTGAAACGAGATGTTCTGAACGTACACCCCGAATGCATCATAATCGTGAAAATTACCGCCTGAGACGCTTGATCGGTGAGAGTAGGCCATCGTTATTATTGGGTTAAGTGATCACTCTGGCAAGGAGGGGTGAGTTTACCTCAGTGTAATTAATGTAGTAAGAGGTACTGCACTTGGTACTATAGTTCTGAATACGAGGTGTAATGAACATAATTATACAACTATTGTACTACGTGTGCTGTAGTGAACATTTAGTACTAGTGTTGTAGTGAACATTTAGTACTAGTGTTATTGTGGACATGTAGTACTAGTGTTATAGTGAACATGTAGTACTAGTGTTATAGTGAACATTTAGTACTAGTGTTGTAGTGAACATTTAGTACTAGTGTTATAGTGAACATTTAGTACTAGTGTTATAGTGAACATGTAGTACTAGTGTTATATTGAACATGTAGTACTAGTGTTATAGTGAACATGTAGTACTAGTGTTGTAGTGAACATGTAGTACTAGTGTTATAGTGAACATGTAGTAATAGAGTTATAGTGAACATGTAGTACTAGTGTTATAATGAACATGTAGTACTAGTGTTGTAGTGAACATTTAGTACTAGTGTTGTAGTGAACATTTAGTACTAGTGTTATAGTGAACATGTAGTACCTGCGTTATAGTGAACATGTAGTACTAGTGTTATAGTGAACATGTAGTACTAGTGTTATAGTGAACATGTAGTAATAGAGTTATAGTGAACATGTAGTACTAGTGTTATAATGAACATGTAGTACTAGTGTTTGTAGTGAACATGTAGTACTAGTGTTATAGTGAACTGTAGTAATAAGAGTTATAGTAGATATATTAGTACTAGTGTTATAATGACATTTCAGTGTTTGTTGAACATTTTTAATTGCTAGTATTGTAGTGAACATTTAGTACTAGTGTTGTTGAACATCATACGTTATAGTAGACATGTTTCAATCATTATATTGAACATGTAATTACTAGTGTTGTAGTGAACATGTAGTACTAGTGTTGTAGTGAACATGTAGTACTAGTGTTGTAGTGAACATGTAGTACTAGTGTTGTAGTGAACATGTATGAATGCGTTATAATTGAACTATATAGTACTAGTGTTGTAGTAGACATGGTATTTATAGTGAACATGTGCTAGATATTATAAGTAGACATTTTAGTACTAGTGTTGTAGTAGACATGTAAGTACTATTATTTGTGTTGATATCTTAATTACTAGTGTTGTAGTGAACATTTAGTACTTGTGTTATAGTGAACATGTAGTACTAGTGTTATAGTGAACATGTAGTACTAGTGTTATAATGAACATGTAGTACTAGTGTTGTAGTGAACATGTAGTACTAGTGTTATAATGAACATGTAGTACTTGTGTTGTAGTGAACATGTAGTACTAGTGTTATAGTGAACATGTAGTACTAGTGTTGTAGTGAACATGTAGTACTGGTGTTGTAGTGAACATGTAGTACTAGTGTTGTAGTGAACATGTAGTACTAGTGTTGTAATGAACATGTAGTACTAGTGTTGTAGTGAATGTGTTACTAGTGTTGTAGTGAACATGTAGTACTGATGTTGTAGTGAACATGTAGTACTAGTGTTGTAGTGAACATGTAGTATTAGTGTTGTAGTGAACATGTGGTACTAGTGTTGTAGTGAACATGTAGTACTGGTGTTGTAGTGAACATGTAGTACTAGTGTTGTAGTGAACATGTAGTACTAGTGTTGTAGTGAACATGTAGTACTGGTGTTGTAGTGAACATGTAGTACTAGTGTTCTTGGTATGGTACTAGGTATTTATAGTGAACAGTTATTAACATTAGGCAAAATCTGTGATTTATATTTATCACACACACACACACACACACACACACACACACACACACACACACACACACACACACACACACACACACACACACACACACACACACACACACACACACACACACACACACACACACACACACACACACACACACACACACGCCTCTCCCCACCTGGTCTTCCTCCCTAAATGCCACACAACGTAAACACCTAGAAAAAATGCAAAAGAGGGCATGCAAGATTATTCTCTCCCCTTCCTACTCCACATATCAAGAAGCGCTCAACACACTGACCCTTTCGACTCTCACTGACCATTACCACGACCTCATCTGCAAATTTGGTAAGAAGCTTCTACACCATCCTCGACACCGGCTCCTACTACCACCTGAGATCCCTAGTCCGAGAATTGCTGTTCGACACCACAGCCGCATCCAGCCCATACGTGCACGAACTGATCGCTATAAGAACAGCCCAGTCCCAACCATTGTAAAAATTATCAATAACTTGTAATAAACCAGTGTATTCACTCCCAGTAAACACTACTCCTTGCACTGTCACTATGTTGAAATGAACTGTAGTTTGAGCTTTTCCCCATCTAGTTATTATATATCTTATTTGTATCACTTATGTTACTTGAATATTATTTGTAATTCGAAACCCATTCCCTAATTATGTAACTGTATATTTTCAGCCTTGTGGCTGCCAAGCTCTTTCAATAAACCGTTAATTATTATTATTATTATTATTATTATTACACAAACAATTACATACATACATATTAGTGGAATGAGAACTTACTGCAGCTTATGGTGATCAACATTATCAGTCGGTTATAACACAAGGAGGAACTGGATAACTGTGTCCATATCCAGACTGGTGAGAGACTGTTCGGGCACGCGTTGAATAGTATTGACATCAGATTGTTATGGTGTGAGGATAATTACTGTAGGTACAGGTACAGTCCCCTTTACTAGTGCGTTTACAGGGGGTCGTCAGGTTTTGTCCAGTGTGGCAAACCTGTGTTTGTTTACATTCGACAAAGAAGCGGAAAATAGTACAAATATGTTGTAATCAAATTAAAACAATATTAAAACAAATAGCTCAGATAATAAATTGTGGAATGTTTATGTGACGAGCCCCTGTAAACGTACAAGTGAAGGGGACTGACTGTACATAGTTGTCAGGCATCTGAACTCCACCTTGAACAGGTAATACTTCGAGGTGATTCTCCGCCACAGTCCATTACAACTGTCAGTGTATTAATTTAGGGGATTTACTCTGATATATTATTATATTGTATTGTATTGTATTAAATAAGTTGTTGAGTTTGTTGTTTAAAGTATATACTGTAGGTAGGTCAAGGGACACACTATTACCTTTGTATTATTTATTAATTCATTATACAAAAAGAACTTAAACACCTCACTGAGCCTCCTCACCGGACGACTCATCCTCACTGTCCGAGAAAATACTTCTCGTCCTGCTCTTCACTGGACGACTTATCGTCCCCTCCTCACCGGGCTCATCGTCACTTTCCGAGAGACAAAGTGTCGTCCCCATCAACGTCAATGGAAGACTTTTCCTCTTCTCAACGGACGACGACTCATCGTCACTTTCCGAGAGACGACGTAGACGTTTCTGAGGGGGAAGATGGTCGTCCTCCTTCGTACTGGACGACTTGTCGTCAGTTTCCTGTGGACGTTGACGTTTCTGAGGGGGAAGATGGTCGACCTCCTCCTCACTGGACGAATCGTCATCCTCCTCCTCACTGGACGAATCGTCGTCATCCTCGTCACTGGACGAATCGTCGTCAGTTTCCTGAGGAATAGGTCGTTCCTGAGGGGGAAGATGGTCGTTCTCCTCCTCATTACACGCCTCCTCTACAGTTTCCTGTGGAATAGGTCGCTCCTGAGGGGGAAGATGGTCGTTCTCCTCCTCATTGCACGCCTCCTCTACAGTTTCCTGAGGAATAGGTCGTTCCTGAGGGGGGAGATGGTCGTTCTCCTCCTCATTGCACGCCTCCTCTACAGTTTCCTGTGGAATAGGTCGTTCCTGAGGGGGAAGATGGTCGTTCTCCTCCTCATTGCACGCCTCCTCTACAGTTCCTGTGGAATAGGTCGTTCCTGTGAAATGGTCGTTCTCCTCCTTGTGCACAACTCCTCTACAGTTTCCTGTGGAATAGGTCGTTTCAAGGGGAAGATGGTCGTTCTCCTCCTCGTTACTGCCACTACAGTTTCCTGTGGAATAGGTCGTTTCTGAGGGGGAGATGGTCGTTCTCCTCCTCGTACTGCCTCCTCTACAGTTTCCTGTGGAATAGGTCGTTCCTGAGGGGGGAGATGGTCGTTCTCCCCCTCATTGCACGCCTCCTCTACAGTTTCCTGAGGAATAGGTCGTTCCTGAGGGGGAAGATGGTCGTTCTCCTCCTCATTGCATGCCTCCTCTACAGTTTCCTGTGGAATAGGTCGTTCCTGAGGGGGGAGATGGTCGTTCTCCCCCTCATTGCACGCCTCCTCTACAGTTTCCTGAGGAATAGGTCGTTCCTGAGGGGGGAGATGGTCGTTCTCCTCCTCATTGCATGCCTCCTCTACAGTTTCCTGTGGAATAGGTCGTTC